TATATTTGAAGTGACATTAAAAAGTAGGAGGGAACGCTAGATGAAACGGACTCGTGTTTTAAGCGTATTTTTCTACCAGTAGAGCCACTAGTAAAAGGGGAGATAAACCAAGCCATGAAAATCTCGTGCAGGGTAAACACGAACTAACATTCGCACGTGCACTCACTGACTCGGTAGCTAAAAATAGATATGACCTCAATAACCTGCCAGAAAAAAATATGATTTCTTAGCTTAAGAAAACAAGTAAAATTACCAGGCCGTTTAGCCAGTATGTGATAATTTATTAAAAGAAACGTTTTTTTTTTAAAAATTAATTGTTTGAAAACAATAAAGTTTGTTTTTCATGATAAGACACCACCTCAACGTTTGGTCATTGGGTCAAATGACTTTTTGAAAATTTAAAATATAAAAAAAAATATCTACTTCCAGTGAGGAGTCATCCATCTATGACATCTACTAACAATAAACGGAGGGTCCCTTGTACAATTTTTAGACAATCATCAATATCTGCAGCATTTAATAGGAAATGAAGGCAAGTGCATCTGGCGCAGTTGTCTCCAAGTAGTACTCACTACACAAAGGTCAACTGGTTCATACACAGACATATCATGCTACGGACATCTTAGCTAGCCAGCCATGCTAGGGACGGGCCTAGCTAGCCAGCCATGCTAGGGACGGGCCTAGCTAGCCAGCCATGCTAGGGACGGGCCTAGCTAGCCAGCCATGCTAGGGACAGGCCTAGCTAGCCAGCCATGCTAGGGACGGGCCTAGCTAGCCAGCCATGCTAGGGACGGGCCTAGCTAGCCAGCCATGCTAGGGACGGGCCTAGCTAGCCAGCCATGCTAGGGACAGGCCTAGCTAGCCAGCCATGCTAGGGACGGGCCTAGCTAGCCAGCCATGCTAGGGACGGGCCTAGCTAGCCAGCCATGCTAGGGACGGGCCTAGCTAGCCAGCCATGCTAGGGACGGGCCTAGCTAGCCAGCCATGCTAGGGACGGGCCTAGCTAGCCAGCCATGCTAGGGACAGGCCTAGCTAGCCAGCCATGCTAGGGACGGGCCTAGCTAGCCAGCCATGCTAGGGACGGCCTAGCTAGCCAGCCATGCTAGGGACGGGCCTAGCTAGCCAGCCATGCTGGCCGGAGTCTGAAGTGCGTGTTTTGGTCTCCTAACAAACAATAAAGTGTGTTTATAAATACTTGTAAACATTGTTAGGTTCGTTAAAATAGACAAAGGTACGGTTAGTGCAGACTTGTTGAAGAAAATTTTAGTTGACATTTTCATGCATGAAACCAAACTGATCGCATCTTAGGATCTGTAGCATGAGTAGGCTAGCGTAGAAATCTGGTTGGTGTGTGTTGTTGTCTTTTACTCTCAGTACAATGCAGTGCTAGTCTTTAGGCTAGGTGCTAAACCAATGCTAGTTTCTAGGGTAGGTGCTAAACCAATGCTAGTTTCTAGGCTAGGTGCTATTTATATTTATCAGGGTTGTTGTGAGTGGGTGGGGGGGGGGGGGGTGAACTGGTTTATAAACTTGCAACAACAACAACAAACACGCTACTTTTTTGCTGTGCATCTATACAGCGCCTTCAACGTGGGTTTACGTTGGCATATTTCTTTGTTGTGAATGAGATTTTTTTAAAAAGTGAAGCAAGCTTTTTGTAAGTAAATGTATCTGCAAGTTTTAAGGTAGTAAATTTGGTTGAAGTTCAAGATTGAACCTAGTAAACGTCTGCTATGTGCAAGATATTAAGCAAGTAAATTTTAATGTATGCTGTAATGTGCAAGATTTAAGCTAGTAAATGTCTGCTGTAAAGTGCTAGATTTAAGCTAGTAAATGTCTGCTTGAATGGGCAAGATGTAAGAAAGTAAATGTCTGCTATGTGCAAGATTTAAGCTAGTAAATATGTGATGACATGTGCTAGCTCACGTGGATGTGTACTCAGGGGCGTAGCGAGGGGGGGGGCGGGGGGTGCGGACCGCACCGGGTGACACCATTTAGGGGGGTGACACCAAGGCAAAAAATAGCAAAATATATAGAGAAAAACTCGAGGGGGGGGGGGTGCAAATCGAAAGTTTGAGGGGGGGGGTGCAAATCGAAAACTTGAGGGGGGGTGCAAATCGAAAGTTTGAGGGGGGGGGTGCAAATCGAAAATTCGAAAGTTTGTCCCAGAGATGGGTCTCTATGCCTCTGGGGGGGGTGACACCATTAAGTGCCGCACCGGGTGACACCCGACCTCGCTACGCCACTGTGTGTACTACACACTAACAACACACCAAGCGCCACTAAATTATCGACAACACACCTTCCCATCATCAGCGGCGTCTTGTTAAGTTTAATCCCCCCCTAAACTTTTACTTAAAACTAACTCTAAACTTTTACTTAAAACTAACCCTAAACTTTTACTAGAAACTAAACCTAAACTTTTACTAGAACCTAACCCTAAACTCAGCCAACCTTGTATTTTATCTGGACTCAAACCCAAACCCTAATCAGCCGCCGCTAGTGATGGTAAGACACCTGGTGTAGTAGCAAGCAGAGGGGTTGTGTACAACAGAAATAATAATAAAACGTTTCAAGAAATCAAGAAAATGTAAACGTACCTGGGTTATGTGGAGGTTTTTCTAGAGAGATAAAAAAAATATATTTGATAATTAGCAAAAATAATTGACGGAATTGACAGATTATTTGTCAACCATCAACATCATATCTAAGTGTTTTAGACTAAATGGTTTCACTTTCCATGGTCGTTCATAAATGGAAAAGTCTTGAGATTGTCATTATTTAATTAACCTTAGCAAAAATGTTGACCATACAAAATTGACCTTCTATTGAAGATTAATCTTAGAAAATTGACATTAACAAAAACATTGAGGATAAATTACTAAACTGATCCTACATACAACAGTGAGGTGGATCTTACCTTCAACAGGTGGACCTTACCTTCAACAGGTGGACCTTACCTACAACAGGTGGACCTTACCTTCAACAGGTGGACCTTACCTACAACAGTGAGGTGGACCTTACCTACAACAGTGAGGTGGACCTTACCTACAACAGTGAGGTGGACCTTACAACAGTGAGGTAGACCTTACCTACAATAGTGAGGTGGACCTTACCTACGACAGTGAGGTGGACCTTACCTACAACAGTGAGGTGGACCTTACCTACAACAGTCAGGTGGACCTTACCTACAACAGTGAGGTGGACCTTACCTACAACAGTCAGGTGGACCTTACCTACAACAGTGAGGTGGACCTTACCTACAACAGTGAGGTGGACCTTACCTACAATAGTGAGGTGTACCTTACCTACAACAGTGAGGTGGACCTTACCTACAACAGTGAGGTGGACCTTACCTACAACAGTGAGGTGGACCTTACCTACAACAGTCAGGTGGACCTTACCTACGACAGTGAAGTGGACCTTACCTACAACAGTGAGGTGGACCTTACCTACAACAGTGAGGTGGACCTTACCTACAACAGTGAGGTGGACCTTAACTACAACAGTGAGGTGGACCTTACCTACAACAGTGAGATGGACCTTACCTACAACAGTGAGGTGGACCTTACCTACAACAGTGAGGTGGACCTTACCTACAACAGTGAGGTGGACCTTACAACAGTGAGGTGGACCTTAGCTACAACAGTGAGGTGGACCTTACCTACAACAGTGAGGTTGACCTTACCTACAACAGTGAGGTGGACCTTACCTACAACAGTGAGGTGGACCTTACCTACGACAGTGAGGTGGACCTTACCTACAACAGTGAGGTGGACCTTACCTACAACAGTGAGGTGGACCTTACCTACAACAGTGAGGTGGACCTTACCTACAACAGTGAGGTGGACCTTACAACAGTGAGGTAGACCTTACCTACAATAGTGAGGTGGACCTTACCTACGACAGTGAGGTGGACCTTACCTACAACAGTGAGGTGGACCTTACCTACAACAGTGAGGTGGACCTTACCTACGACAGTGAGGTGGACCTTACCTACAACAGTGAGGTGGACCTTACCTACAACAGTGAGGTGGACCTTACCTACAACAGTGAGGTGGACCTTACCTACAACAGTCAGGTGGACCTTACCTACGACAGTGAAGTGGACCTTACCTACAACAGTGAGGTGGACCTTACCTACAACAGTGAGGTGGACCTTACCTACAACAGTGAGGTGGACCTTACCTAAAACAGTGAGGTGGACCTTACCTACGACAGTGAAGTGGACCTTACCTACGACAGTGAGGTGGACCTTACCTACAACAGTGAGGTGGACCTTACCTACAACAGTGAGGTGGACCTTACAACAGTGAGGTGGACCTTAGCTACAACAGTCAGGTGGACCTTACCTACAACAGTGAGGTTGACCTTACCTACAACAGTGAGGTGGACCTTACCTACAACAGTGAGGTGGACCTTACCTACGACAGTGAGGTGGACCTTACCTACAACAGTGAGGTGGACCTTACCTACAATAGTGAGGTGGACCTTACCTACAACAGTGAGATGGACCTTACCTACAACAGTGAGGTGGACCTTACCTACAACAGTGAGGTGGACCTTACCTACAATAGTGAGGTTGACCTTACGTACAACAGTGAGGTGGACCTTACCTACAACAGTGAGGTGGACCTTACCTACAATAGTGATGTGGACCTTACCTACAACAGTGAGGTAGACCTTACCTACAATAGTGAGGTGGACCTTACCTACGACAGTGAGGTGGACCTTACCTACAACAGTGAGGTGGACCTTACCTACAACAGTCAGGTGGACCTTACCTACAACAGTCAGGTGGACCTTACCTACAACAGTCAGGTGGACCTTACCTACAACAGTGAGGTGGACCTTACCTACAACAGTGAGGTAGACCTTACCTACAACAGTGAGGTGGACCTTACCTACAACAGTGAGATGGACCTTACCTACAACAGTGAGGTGGACCTTACCTACAACAGTGAGATGGACCTTACCTACAACAGTGAGGTGGACCTTACCTACAACAGTGAGGTTGACCTTCCAAACCATTTTCTCCGTGGCGATGATGGCACACTGATACTCGCCAGCGTCGGCCATCTTGACCTCATTAATGACCATGTTCCATGCGCTGACCCCTGCCGGCCAGGAGTAATGGCTGATCCTCAAATTGGGGTCGGGGGCCCAGATGTCCGTGCCTATACTTAAGAAATGACCGATGCCCGTCTTTGTCCAAGTTACCTGGGTAAAAAAATTAATCATATGAAAATTGCAGCTTGATCGAGAATTACATGAGGTAACCAGGATAATACAGTCCTGTTTAATTCAGAGTTTAAGGATGCAGTTCTAGAATACAGTAATACGTCACTTAGGATACGCCGCAAAGCGTACAGTAACTTTAAAGATATGCACCATCGTAGGTCTAATACATTATTATATTATAGTATTAGATAACTAGGGATATTTTAATACCGTTTTTTTTTAAATTTAACTAACATTTTATTCCTTTTTGTTTTATATATTCTGTCGATTCCACGTTGCGTTTGAAAATAAATGAATTTATCAACAATCTATACGACTAAAATGTAAAATGTTCACTAAAATGTAGATTTCCTTGAAAATTAAACCAAGCTTGCACAGAGATTTAAAAAGATCTACGCTAACAATGTGAACTGAATTATTTCCCTATCTGGACTCGAGTCGCAGGGGTGGTAATAAAAATAATTTTGCGATGAAAATGAGTTAATGCTGAGTTACTTCACTATGTTATGAGTCTTGTTGGTATACAAACAAAAGCAGCAATTGCGTTCAAAGCAAGACAACTATTTAAATACATTTATTATCCCTAGTTATCTCTCTTTGTTTAGCGGGAACAGGGGCATCAGCGTTTAGACTCCGATCAAAATAAATATAAAATTAAAAAAAAATCAATAAATATTCTATACATGACAATGACACTACTTTTTCTTTAACAAATCCAATAAAAATTGTTGATGGTATTCTGGTATCAGCGAGATTGTTTGAGAATAGACCTCTATGACGTCACACAATGGCTAGACGGAGTTCAACCAAGAGTAGGTTTAAAAGAGAGCATACAGTCAGTCATTGATGAACTAGGCTGCGCATTTTTTATTTAGTCGTGTTACTGCAGGATAATGGTGCATAGCTTGTTCGATCATAGATGGTGGCAGTTTTTTTTCAGGCACCTTCTCTACCGCCCCCAGGAAATTTTAGTCCCCACACCACCCTAAAACTGATGTCTACACCAACTACCTTTCTCTGCCCCTATGATGTCTACACCATCTACCTTTTTCTGCCCCTATGCTGTCTACACCAACTACCTTTCTCTGCCCCTAGAACTGAAGTCTACACCAACTACCTTTCTCTGCCCCTAGGATGTCTACACACACTACCTTTCTCTGCCCATAAAACTGATGTCTACACCACTTACCTTTCTCTGCCCCTATGATGTCTACACCAACTACCTTTCTCTGCCCCTATAATGTCTACACCAACTACCTTTCTCTGCCCATAAAACTGATGTCTACACCAACTACCTTTCTCTGCCCATAAAACTGATGTCTACACCACTTACCTTTCTCTGCCCCTATGATGACTACACCAACTACCTTTCTCTGCCCCTAGAACTGATGTCTACACCAACTACCTTTCTCTGCCCCTATGATGTCTACACCAACTACCTTTCTCTGCCCCTATGATGTCTACACCAACTACCTTTCTCTGCCCCTATGATGTCTACACCAACTACCTTTCTCTGCCCATATGATGTCTACACCAACTACCTTTCTCTGCCCATATGATGTATACACCAACTACCTTTCTCTGCCCCTAGGATGTCTCCACCAACTACCTTTCTCTGCCCCTAGAACTGATGTCTACACCAACTACCTTTCTTTGCCCATAAGACCAATCAAGTCCTCATCGATTGTCGTCTCGCCAAGCAAACAGTTCGTCACAGCTGAATAAAGTTTACTCAAGCGATCATAACGAACAATCAACAAAGATTGAGATATTTCTACAAAACGGAAACGATTTCCTCTTAAATTATATATTTGAGCTTTTCTAAAGAGAAAAATGAAACAATCATTAAGAAGGCGGGGGAGGATGTGAGTGGACGTCAGTTGGTTGGGATGTTTGAAGAAAAGACGTCAATACAGGAACACAGAATGACGTGAAGAGGTCAGGAAGACGTCCTTAAAGGATGGGAGGACGTGAGTAGCACTTTACGAGGACGTGAGTGACGTGCACAGGACGTGAGTGACGTCATTAGGACACGTGCAGGGGATGATGGGAAGCGTCTGACAGCTGATGCCAGACATACACACACAGAAAAACACACACACACACAGACATACACGCATGCAGCAAACATCTCCAGGCTCGCGAGATTCTCGACAATTTAGACTTGCAAGCTGATCCAAGTCTCGCCATTAGCCCGGGGATGTCTGGGGCGTGGGTTGACCGTCAGCCGGACCCTCCCCGGGACAGCACTTAGATGAACCCCACGGGGTAGGAGGTAGAGACCCAAGGATCTTGAGGGTTAGTCTGTACAGGGGACTATGTCTTAATTCACCCCTCCTACCCCCCACCAAACACGACATGCTATCTAAATAATATTATAGTCGAATCTAGCAGCAGGCAGGATATGCTACATCTAGTTATATTAAGCTAGTTCTTGTGTCACCTCTAAAGACTGACCCTTTGTGTCACTGACCTACCGACTGACCCAAGTGCCACTGACCTGCCTAGTCCCCAGGTGTTACACCATACAGGGGGGATCGCCCTCTCCCCGCTGTGAGCGACACTGACCTACCAACTGACCCCAGTGTCACTGACCTACCAACTGACCCCAGTGTCACTGACCTACCAACTGACCCAAGTGTCACTGACCTACCAACTGACCCAAGTGTCGCTGACCAACTGACCCAAGTGTCACTGACCTACCAACTGACCCAAGTGTCGCTGACCAACTGACCCAAGTGTCACTGACCTACCAACTGACCCAAGTGTCACTGACCTACCGACCCAAGTGTCACTGACCTGCCTAGTCCCCAGGTGTCACTGACCTGCCTTGTCCCCAGGTGTCACTGACCTACCTAGTCCCCAAGTGTCACTGACCTGCCTAGTCCCCAAGTGTCACTGACCTGCCTAGTCCCCAAGTGTCACTGACCTGCCTAGTCCCCAGGTGTCACTGACCTGCCTAGTCCCCAGGTGTCACTGACCTACCGACCCAAGTGTCACTGACCTGCCTAGTCCCCAAGTGTCACTGACCTGCCTTGTCCCCAGGTGTCACTGACCTGCCTAGTCCCCAAGTGTCACTGACCTACCGACCCAAGTGTCACTGACCTACTGACCCAAGTGTCACTGACCTGCCTAGTCCCCAGGTGTCACTGACCTGCCTAGTCCCCAGGTGTCACTGACCTACCTAGTCCCCAAGTGTCACTGACCTACTGACCCGAGTGTCACTGACCTGCCTAGTCCCCAGGTGTCACTGACCTACCGACCCAAGTGTCACTGACCTACCGACCCAAGTGTCACTGACCTGCCTAGTCCCCAGGTGTCATTGACCTACTGACCCAAGTGTCACTGACCTGCCTAGTCCCCAAGTGTCACTGACCTGCCTAGTCCCCAAGTATCATTGACCTACCGACCCAAGTGTCACTGACCTGCCTAGTCCCCAGGTGTCATTGACCTACTGACCCAAGTGTCACTGACCTGCCTAGTCCCCAAGTGTCACTGACCTACTGACCCAAGTGTCACTGACCTGCCTAGTCCCCAGGTGTCACTGACCTGCCTAGTCCACAGGTGTCACTGACCTGCCTAGTCCCCAAGTGTCACTGACCTGCCTAGTCCCCAGGTGTCACTGACCTGCCTAGTCCCCAAGTGTCACTGACCTGCCTAGTCCCCAAGTGTCACTGACCTGCCTAGTCCCCAAGTGTCACTGACCTGCCTAGTCCCCAAGTGTCACTGACCTACTGACCCAAGTGTCACTGACCTGCCTAGTCCCCAGGTGTCACTGACCTGCCTAGTCCCCAGGTGTCACTGACCTACCTAGTCCCCAAGTGTCACTGACCTACTGACCCAAGTGTCACTGACCTGCCTAGTCCCCAAGTGTCACTAACCTGCCTAGTCCCCAAGTGTCACTGACCTACTGACCCAAGTGTCACTGACCTGCCTAGTCCCCAGGTGTCACTGACCTGCCTAGCCCCCAGGTGTCACTGACCTGCCTAGCCCCCAGGTGTCACTGACCTGCCTAGTCCCCAGGTGTCACTGACCTGCCTAGTCCCCAGGTGTCACTGACCTACCGACCCAAGTGTCACTGACCTGCCTAGTCCCCAAGTGTCACTAACCTGCCTAGTCCCCAAGTGTCACTGACCTACTGACCCAAGTGTCACTGACCTGCCTAGTCCCCAGGTGTCACTGACCTGCCTAGCCCCCAGGTGTCACTGACCTGCCTAGCCCCCAGGTGTCACTGACCTGCCTAGTCCCCAGATGCTGCACCATACAGGGGAGGATCGCCCTCTCCCCACTGTGGACGACAATCTCCGTCTCGCCCGGCATGAAACTCGGGTCTGGAATGAAGGGGCGTGGACCGTCCGGCACGAACTCCGGGAGTCGGGTGGTGGTGTCCTTGTCCGGGGGCGTGTAAATCATGCCGTTAAACAGCCCGGGGAAGAAGTCGGGGTCCCCCTGGCTCTTCTTGACGGGCGGGGCGCCCTTGGCTGGGGCAGACGGAAGTAGAGGCTCATGGTTGTCTGCAATAGATAGGAGGGACATTCTCAAGGGCAAGGTCACTCAATGGTCAGTGAATAAAGGTCACAGAGTTGTTTGTTGATAAAAGTCTCAAGGTCAAGGTCATTAAATGGTCAGTGAATAAAGGTTACAGAGTTGTTAATTAATATACGTCTCAAGGACAAGGTCACTAAATAGTCAGTTAATAAAGGTCACAGAGTTGTTAGTTAATAAATAAAAATCTTAAGGACAAGGTAACGAATATGTGAATTAATAAAGTAAGGACCCAAGGGCAAGGTCACACAGGTGTTATTAAATACATGACTACGAACGAAATAACAATGGATTATCGAATGGTAAATTTGGTGATCATTAAAATGGTGATCATTAAAATGGTCATCATTAAAATGGTCATCATTAAAATGGTCATCATTAAAATCGTCATCATTAAAATGGTGATATGAAAAGTAGAAAAAAACCTTTGAGTTATTTTAGTAATTTATTGAACCTAATATTATTATTTTAATCCTAATTAGATGTTAATATCAGATACATATATCAAAGATCACACAGATTTACTGTATTTTTTAAAATAGTATGTTGTAATGTGCTTGTTGGAGTTATTATTGATGAAAATAACTGGAGTATAGAAAATGGATTATTGGCTTAAAAGTTAAAAGAACAGTTACATTGTTAGACCGAATGGTAAATATGACAGCTGAAACGCACAATGAATAGTAAAAAACTATTAATGACAGGGGCGGCAACTCTAGGTTAAACTAATGGTATAGATTATCCTAACGGTATAGAAATGGTATAGAAATGAGACGGACAGGGGCGGCGACTCAGTGTTGAGTGAGATCAAACGTCAGGCCTGTGTTTAGCTGCACTAAAATATCGCAGGATGTCTTTTGAGCCGGATCATGGTGGAGGAAAACATCAAACACGACGGAGGTTTGGTGGTCTGGGGGTGGGGGTGGGTGGGGTGATACAAGGTTTACACAGGTAGGTGGGTTTACTTTAGACAGCTGGGCACGAACCAGACCTTCTAGCCCTAGAGCTAATGCGCTATTCCTGGGTGTGATGTATTTGTATGTTACCGTTACATCACAGGGACGGCAGGGTAACGAGGTGGAGCCGGTGCTCAGCTGTGCCAGTACTCAGCATTTGTTGGGTGTTGTTGTTTTTGTTTACTGACCCTGACGCATGACGCAGAGTCACAGATAGCCTAGCCAGTGATGTAACTAGACGCCATGCCTTTTTGATGCAGATTGCGACATGAGCGAACTCATGCAATTGCATACCTAGACGCTATGTCATGACACTTGTCTATAACAAGAGCAAACTTATGCATTCACAAACTAACCTAAAACTCACGATTAAACTGGCGTATGTATAAAGCAACACTAACCTAAAAATAACGACTAAACTGGCGTATCTATAAAGCAACACTAACCTAAAACTCACGATTGAATTGACGTATGTATGAACACTAACCTAAAACTCACCTAAAACTCACGATTTAACTGACGCATGAATGAACACTAACCTAAAACTCACGATTAAACTGACGTATGTGTAAAATAACACTAGCCTAAAACTCACGATAGAACTGACGTATGTATGAACACTAACCTAAAACTCACGATAGTACTGGCGTGTGTACAAAGCAACACTAGCTAAACCTCACCTTTAAACTGACGTATGTTATTGCAGCACTAACCTAAACCTCATGATAGAACTGACATGTGTGTCACATAACCAGGTTTAATGGCCGATATGTGCACAGTTAAAGTTTATACTTTGATCTGTCTGTCGTCATAGTCTGTCTGTAGGGGAAGATCTAAGGGTGATCGGGTGAGCTGCGGTAATTAATTAATGGAGTGTCGAGTAAACGTTGATGTGTGGGAGAGATCTATGGGGGTGGGGATGTGTGGGTGGGGGTGTGGGGTAAATATGTAGGATAGGAATGTGGACTAGGGATGTGAGGAGGGGATGTGGGGGTAGAGATGTGGGGGTATGGGGTATAAATGTAGGATAGAGATGTGGGGGTGTGGGTATATATATGTAGGATACCGATGTGGGGGTAGAGATGTGGGGGTAGAGATGTGGGGGTAGAGATGTGGGGTGGCGTGTGGGGTAAATTTGTAGGATACCATGTGGGGGTAGAGATGTGAGGTGGGGGTGTGGGGGTAGAGATGTGAGGTGGGGGTGTGGGGGTAGAGATGTGGGGGTAGAGCTGTGGGGTAAATATATAGGATACCGATGTCGGAGATGGGGTGTGGACTTTGAAATACAAGTTACATACATTACGACATAAACGAAACTTAAAAATAGAACAAACCCGGATTATCTGGCAAGGAGCACACGTTTGAACTTAAGCCGTGCCATTAATCTTAATCTGCTCCGATATATTCAAACTTAATTTTGTTTATAATCTGCTCCGATAATTTCAAACTTAATTTTGTTTATAATCTGCTCCGATAATTTCAAACTTAATTTTTTTCATAAATCATGTTTCAAAGCTGTAATTTCTTTGTAACGTAGCTAGCAATCCAATTATATTATGCCACTAATGTATATATCTTTATATATAAATAAGAACCCACTTAAATGATCAGAGGCTAGATTCTTCGAGATATGTCTTGCTTTTACAAGACAGCGTTATACGTTTTTTTTTAAAACAATTATTTCGTACGAAAAAACAAAGCGTTGTTACTTTCTGTATTGTTTAAAAAATGAATCTGTGGTATAATGGCTAGATAATGCTGGTGATATATGTTATAAAATGACTTAATAATGTTGTTGATATCTGCAGTGGCGTAGCGAGGTCGGGTGTCACCCGGTGCGGCACTTAATGGTGTCACCCCCCCCAGAGGCGTAGTGACCCTTCCCGGGGACAAACTTTCAAGTTTTCGATTTGCACCCCCCCCCCCCCCTTCAAACTTTCGATTTGCACCCCCCCCTCCTCAAGTTTTTGTCTATATATTTTGCTTTTTTTTTGCCTTGGTGTCACCCACCCCCCTAAATGGTGTCACCCGGTGCGGTCCGCACCCCCCTCGCTACGCCCCTGGATATCTGTACTCTCACAATTCAAGTCTTACGGTAAAGTTTGACTGGATCAATTAGTGAGATGACAGATAAAGATCGGTGTCATTCCGGATGTCATACAAGCAAAGATGTCGGTCACCATTAGGGATGCTCGACTCACTTAGATGTCTGTCATAAATGTCAAATAAAGATGTCTGCCACCATTTGGGGTGTCAACCAAAAATGTCACGCTCTAGTTAACCCCACCATGTACGCCTAACCATGACATCATGTACGCCTAACCATGCCACCATGTACGCCTAACCATGACACCATGTACGCCTAACCATGACACCATGTACGCCTAACCATGCCACCATGTACGACTAAACCTAGATGACACCAGACAGAAAGTGGAACGACTTTCCTGGAAGATTCGTATCGCTCCCTAACGTAATTAAATCAGTAATCGATTCTCGAGCAACATGGACTCATTTACGTAGATGATTCGATTACAACAAAATGTCATGACACAATGTAGTACATAAACATACGAAAAACGGGTCGGAAAAAGAAATATTTTTAAACAAAATCTACTAAATTTAATCGAAGTTTAAAAGGAGTATTGTATTCGTGCAAGAAATAATAGTCGATATTATGACAAATCTCGACGTTTAACATTCCATAGATGAAAAATCTCAATTTTGCGATCTTGTCTGTCTGTTTGTGTTCGTTGGCCTGTGTGTCCAGTGGCGTAGCCAGAAATTGGTCATGGGAGGGGTTCAACCATTTCTCCATATGTATACAATCCTATATATATATATATATATATATATATATATATATATATATATATATATATATATATATATATATATATATATATATATGTATATATATATATATATATATATATATATATATATATATATATATATATATATATATATATATATATATATATATATGTAGGGATCCATGGGAGGGGTTATAACCCCCCCCCTACCCCCCTCCTTGCCTACGCCAGTGTGTGTGTCTGTATGTGTATATATGTATGTGTGTTTGTGTGTGTGTGTGTTAACACGACAACTCAAGCGGATGGAATTTCACGTAATTTTTCAAGTATTTTTCTAACAACACCAAAAAAAAATCTAAATACCGTATCAGTTTCGTAGACGATATTTCATATACACGTAAGTAAAATACGTAGGTTTCTTTCAAATTCTGAGCAATTTCCGGTAACCGGAAGTGGCACTTCGCGGTTTATCAAAAGCCTTCAGTATTTTATGGATTTATTTCAAATTCCCATAATCAGAATATCCAAAGAAGTTTTCGCCTTCATATATTTTCTTGCTTAAATGAGCGGTTTTGTCACAAACTTATCAACCATTTCTATAGCTCAATTCCATTGGAAATGCCATTCCAACCACTACTGTTATATAAGAACATACAACAATACTTAGGGGCGCTTACTCTCGCTTTTTCTTTTTCTTTTGGTTTTGTTTTGAGAAACTCGGTCAGTTTAGTATTATATTTATAGCTTGCCTCTGAATGGGTAAACACCGTCTGTGACGTCACCTCTCACGTGACACTATCGCCTGCTCACACACATCTCAATGTCCCACACCGACGCTCTCCAAGTGAAGTGTGGGACACTCCCATTGGAAAACACATCCCTCCATATAAGGAGTAATGTCCTTCTTCCTCTCAGAGTGTGGCGTGTAGAAAGAATAAGAGCCACTCCACACCCCCCGCCCCTCTTAACGGCTGGTGTACTTTATTCGTCTCAAGACACAGCTCCAAGTTAGATACGTCTAAGACGCTCAATTCCTTGTCACTTCAATGGTTTCTTCCCCTTGTCACCATCAGAGTTCTCCCCCTGCTAGATAACTCTTCTCTCGCGGAGTTGGAATAAATTTGAATGATACCACTTGTTCAGGCGGTTCTTAGAGTGATTTCCCTTGGTAAATAGTTTCATCTTAAAGATAGGGTT